TGAGGCATGCGGTGGTGGAAGGATGGTGAAAGATAGAGGCATCACGAAAGCCTCTCTCAAAACAAAAAAGTTCCGAAAGGGGATCCGTTGAGTACATAGAAAAATGAGAGGGGAGAGTCTTAGAGTGAAAGATAGTGAGAGCATGTTGGAGGGGATGGGCTATTGCGTTGTCTGTGTGTACAACTGTGTGTCTTTTTCCGCCCACGATATTGTTGAAAACGATACATCGTGGGTGGTTGGTGGGTGCTCCGATGTGATTTGCTTCTTCTATCAAACGTCTATCGTCCTTATCTCCCCTTCTTCTTTTTTATGTTTGTTTTTCTCTTGTAACACCTCTAATCTTCTGACGCTCATATGATCTTTTGCAGTTGCGAGCGCCGTAAAACCTCTACTAAAACTAAGAATACGATATTGTGTCAATGTGTATTTATTTACGTGCAAAGAGAGTTGTTTGTTACAGCGTTGGTTTTGTTTTTGTTTTGTTTTTGTTTTGTTTTTAAGATTATACTTTAGATCTAGGGGAAATGAATCAGGGATTGGCTGTATCTCTCACTCAACTCATTACAGTGACACGATATGAAATCTGTAGATGTATCATTTTATTTCAAACACTCTTGTTGGCAGGCTGGAAAACAAAAATATATTCTTCAAGAATACACAGGTGTCTCAATTTTTGCCCCAGTTTATAACCTTAAGCGACTGACACCTGTTGCCAAATTAATACGAAATGTTTCTGGAAAGCTAGACGATTTGATTTACTGCAATGGAAAAGTTGGAGCGTCTTAACACCATATTGTGTCATAGCATAACGATTGTTTTGGAGAATTAGGACACACTCCAAGTGACTCAAAGAGCTGATATTTCGTTGAAATTCTTTCCGATTCAGTGACGTATGCGTCATCCCCACGGCTTGTTATTTTATGGTCTATGACTTTGAGCAGTGCTCTTGGCTGTTTGGTTCATAAAAAGTATGACGTCATCCGTTTCTGAGTAGCTCCTAGCTACCCGATTCTTAAACGGTGACAGACAATAACACTAATATACTTCCCTTCCAGCCAAATTAAAAGCCCTCCCATCATTTTTCGTTTGTCAGAATGGAGAGGTAGTGTCTTATGCGTCATCCGCACAGCGGCCGTGTTTTCTTTCCTTATTTTCTCCTTTTCTATTTTTCTTCTTTTCTTTTCTTCTTTTCTTCTTGCTTTTTTTTTCTTTAAGAATGGTCGACAAGCAGCAGTGCTCCAAGCTAGCTGCTTAATTCTTTCCCGTATGACGTCATCTATTTTTGAGTACTTGAAGATTCCCCCCCCCC